TGACACCTTTTTTGGGAGGCAAGTTTACTCTGCCATACAAATCTCCTGTATACAGACACTGCTCTGAGCAAGTGTCACACTCGGCAAATGCTGATAAAATATTTCATTTTCATGTGAAACTTGTTTTTCTCGTGTCGAATCTACAAACATTGACACAAACTTGACGTCGAGCTACAGTACTAATCCTGGTGACTTTACGTAGCAGTGTGGCTAGTTGTGATGATGTCGAGCACCAAAACAAAACAAAAAAGCTAGCTTCCGCCTCACCTTCTCAATCACCTGCTCGCGCCTTCCAGACACTATCATTCAGCATACCTGTGAAGCCAGCTAGTGGACTCTAGAACAGGGTACGCGCACGCGAATGCAAGATATACACTTATCAGAGGCCAGAGAAATCGTGTGATTTCGAATTGCAACGACAGCTGCGACAGGTGCAGCATACAGCAGACGATTGAAGAAGCGATCAGCATACAGCAGACGATTGAAGAAGCGATGTGTGGAGAAGAATACATCGCAAAACTAGCTTTTAAAGGCCTGCTGTAATTAATTTTCCGGGGTGCACTCATGCTTACCGGTATATTTCCTACGCTCTTGGGGTGTTGGCCTGTCATTTGACACATAAAACAATAGACAAAAAATTTCGTGTCAGTACCCCTTTAAAAAAATAGCATCATCAGCTTTTCACCAATCCCTTCATTGTTTATAACCCTAATCATTACCAAGAGAAGGAGAGTTGAAGGGCTAGTTTTTTTTTTAACGGATAGTATAGGGGAGATTTTTCGTAGTAGTTACAGTTAGGTGTGACAATAAAAGTGGACAAAAAGGCAAGTTGCTGTCTATAGCAACCGAGCCTGCAACCTTCGAATAAGGCACCTGATGTTGTACCAATTGAGCTAAGGCAGTTGCCCGTCGGGCCATTCACTTTATTAGGTGTATCTCTGCATGTACACCTGGGATTGCTTGCCAATGCTGCTCGTACCGCGATGGCGACGGCGTGGTTTACAAGCACAGATACATCAATAAAAAGGACGGAAAAGAGGGTATTTTGATTTGGTCGACCTAATTGACATTAGGTTGACATAATTTCGATAGAATCGCTATATGATGTGATGAATGATTTATAATTGTACACTTGTCCAAATTTGAAGTAATGCTAGTCTCATTATTATGTACTATAATTTCAGTCGGAATCCTCCAGACATTCCATTTCAGCTTCATGTAGAAGCTTGTGGATCTCAAAAAGCACCTGTGAGCGCTTTCTCTTTGGTAATGCCTTGAGTTTGACAGCTACAAGGCTTCCAGCTATGTCGCACTCATTGGGCTGCAGTGCTTCTTTTTTCTTTGCGATCGCTTGAATTGAGGTGGAGCAGCTGCCAAGAAGGTCTTTAATACTCGCATCCACGTCCTCACTGCGTGTTTTTCTTTTCCTGCAAAACAAATTTACACTTACCGCCAAGTGCCATCAAAATGTTTGCAAAAAGTGTGGAGGGTGTAATTACCGAGATGGTGTAAAATCTGTGGGTTTCCCGGTGGGCCTGCAGAAGAAACAGAAACAAGGCACAGATTAGAAAAGCTGTCGTGAAGTTCATATGCATGTCTTGGCAGCTTAGTTTCACATGTTGGCACAGAGAGTGATGCTAAGGAAAGGGAAAGAAACTGATTATTGCCAAGTGAGTGATTATGCCTGTAGAGTATAAGTGTACTAGCAACACACCATTAACAAAAACAGACAATTAAGTTGAATTGCGTGATGCAACCATACATTGACAGCAATACTAAAAGCGTGTGATTGCCAACCTGCAATAGGCAGTGCAAGCAGAGCATAGATGACACCTGTCCTACGCAAAAATTGGAGGCTGCTCATGCAGGATAACTGAAAAGATATGTTCAAGCTGCTATTCATTTGTACAATCAAAAAAAAGAATTAAAATGTGTGCTGCCAGTGTATTGTCATCATTTTCTTGTATGTTTTTTATCTCTTCTGACATCACAAATTTGTACTTGCTCAAGCATGATACCTCTAGCTTGAACAAAGCCTAGCAGATTTAATATTCCAAGTCCACATAGGCATTCTTACATTGAAGGTGTGGTTGGTGGCACAGCCGAGCAGTTGTTTATGGTCGTAGCCTGCGAAGACCTGTAAGAACCGTAATAATGATACGTCAGTGACATCTCGCATACTGCATGAAGTCAAACATGAACTAGTACAACATAAAATTGTAATTATTAGAAAAAAGAAACAAACATTGCTAAATTTGCAGTGTATAAAAAAAAGAGACACTTATCTAACCCATGTGATGAGATATTCATGAAAATCAACATACCGCAACTCATAGTGACATATTCGAGCATCATTTTCATGAATTAAGAGAAAGTAGATGTATCACTTGCATTTATATGTTACAAAAAACATGGTACGTCACACAGCCTAGTCACGCTACACTGTGGCTTTGAACATTCGCTTAGCTGCATGTAGGTTGATGCTCTTATGTGCACCACAATTACTGTCCAAGATTACAGTGTGTTGTTATTATTTCTTCCCACTATATTCTGAGCTGCTTACAAGGTAAAAGGAGTTAACACTGTAAATAGTCGCTGTGTTTGTGCCTACTAGTGGAACACGTCAGTTATAGTGTATGTGGCAAAGGTGTATAGATATGCAGGCAACTGCACAGCACAAACCCGAATTTCATTATTGCATTCACGTTCTACTGCTTCCAGCATGCATTTTGCATACAGCTCCCCGTTACCACTGAATGAGAGATTCTGATAAACGCGGCACAATGTTTTCCATGTTACCATTCCACGATTAGATACTGACTGGTAGGCTTTCAGTTGCACTAAAGAAAACAGGTACCAAAAGACTTCCTTGGCAGTCCCTATAAAAGAGTTCTAGGGCATCTATTTGACATAAAAGAACATGCTTATAAACTACTCAATGCTCCTCTCAGCATGTGGACCAAATATAGCACTTAAAACAGCAAGGATTCACAATTATGAGCAAAAGACAGCCAAAATTTGCTTGCTGTGCCGTTAGCAAACTATGTTAGAGGTACATCTCTCACAGGCAGATTTTTGAATGCTTGTTTTGATTGATATAAAAACAGATAAAACTTTTGAAATGTGGCTTACCCTTCAGGGCATTCTTCTTCAAGGCATATCTCTCTAATAAAAAAGAAGTAAATGAATCGGTATGTACCACTAGTGAAAAAGCACCTGTGCGTGTTGCTTGTTATTTTTTGGCATACAGTGTGGGAGTATGCAGATACTGCTTTTACAAAGTAAATATTCCAGATTTCTTCACGTCATTCTTTGAAATTTATGAAATGTCACAGTGATGTCCAAATATCGCAGCCTACTCAAGAAGACAGCCGGCACTACGTAGTAGTTCCGGCTGTCTTCTTGAGTAGGCTGCGATATTTGGACACTGGCGGCGCCGGCAGAGCGCGGCGCCGCCAAATTTATTATGCCTATATTGACGAAGTTGGAGGCATAAAACCTCGTTTTGATTGCCCTTCTTGGCACCTGAAAATTTGCCGTCAACTGATTTTTAACAGCACTAAACACTGAATGATATAAATTACTTACTCTCGGAAAGAGACTTCATCCCTTGCTCGCAGACGGGGAAGCAGTGTGTGGGCCTGTCCTTCAGTATCTCTGTACCTCCGAAGCGGATGGACCCAATATCTTCGCGGCGCATTTAGAGAGCGGCGACGCTGAAGCAACAGCAGACACGCCATCATGGTAACGTTGAGCGTTGCGAGGAGATCGTCGTCGCCGGCCATTGTTTGCACGAGTGCACCGTGAAGTCTGAGAGCTCAGAACAGACGACGAAAAAGCGCGCGAAATCTCGCGAGCCGCTGCGAGACCGTTCAAGACTGTTGTCACGTGACTCCCGCAGATGTGGCCAGCGTGCCGCTTATCACCGCTCGGCGGCGAAGACGCGCGTCATGCCGCGGCGGCACGCTTCCCGCTAGTGCGCGCGTGTCCTAAGCACAAACATTGGCGATGCCGCAAGCACGATAATAGCTTACAGCGCACTCAGAGACACGGACAAGGAAGGGCCACACGAAGACGAGCGCTAACAACTGAATTTTATTTTCAAGGAACACGTACGTGGGCACAAATACATGCGCTATACATAGTGCATGAACTCCAAAGCATTCGTTCACCGCGATAACACGTACTCCCGAGTGCGCTGTGAGCTATTATGGATCTTCACCAACTAGCCCCGGTCAAACACCTTGCTGCAAGCACCATTGGTCAAATTTTTCCGCAGCACTTCGCGTCGCAATTGGCCCAAAATCACGCGCTTCTATGTTCCAATGCGAATGCGGGCGTTGAGGCGAAAAAATAAATGCCTGCCGTGCGCAGCGAGCGTACTAAGCGCCCGGGAGTCGAGGAGGTAAACGCGCGCGCGGAGGTGTCTCGCCATACTTTCCGAGATAGAGAGGTTTTAGGAACACCTGTCGGAGCCACGCAGCCTAGAGTTACTGTATATGCTGCCTTTAGGTACGGTAACATATACAGTGACTAACTCAGCCAGACTTTTGGCGCCGTCGATGGGCCTTTCACGCTGTCACGGAAGCCTGCCGGGACGTTTGCTCCCTCCACTTGAGCCGCCATTACCGGCTACCCTCGCGTCACGAGCATGAAGATAACGCTCTCGGCTTTATACGCGACCTCACGGCGACGGCAAGTGTGTCGTGGACTAGCATGTGCGCTTGCATGGTTCACAAGAGCGCCATTTCAACGATATCGTTTCCGGAAGTAACCCATGCAGTTTTCAGTAAGTTCCTTCTCTGGCAATTGTGGCTCTCCAAACTTTCCTTCACACTTTTGCAGTCACTGCTAGCCCGCATTACCCCCTTGACTATACAGACCAATGCAGCCACCCACTTTTGTGCAGCTGATCTGTCAATGTGATATACCTTCCTTTTCCAGAGTGAGTCTATCATCCTGTCGGGAATAAGAATAAGGTGCAAAAAACAGAAGACAGAAGTTGTACTACATCAAGGTTTATTACGAATGGCATAGCATTAAAGTCACATATGTAGATAAATAGAAAACATCTCTCACCAGTTTTGGCAAAATCAAATTCTGTCTGTGCTGGCCACACAGCTTGTACATTTCTTCCAAAAGATTGCAGAACATGCCACACAAATGTGCCTTAAATACTTTATACAAAGCAAAAACACTAGCTCGAAGCTCCGAATTGTAGGCGCTCTGGGCAATCATCACTTTATTTACAAATGTACAATGATACACTCATATAAAAACATCTAAATCGCAACAGTGTTTGCTGGCAGTCACACTCAATGAATGGTCCCCAGAATATGCATGTGCAGCATAAAAAGCTGCATTCCATCATATGTATAATCCACACACAATGGATGGAAGCCCATCTAAAAGTTAACATCTTTCCGCACACAAATGTACACTACCATAATACTACAGTAGGCAGTCTTATGTGAAATATGCCAAGCACATTTGCAGCAGCTTTGGTCAGTTTCCAAGATGATTAAAAAAAAATCAATGCTCAACTTTGGTTCACTTTTTCCTCAAACAACAGAATGAAAAAAATGTAAACTGCGAAATAGTCAGAGTGACAAAAAAAATACCCTTTAAAGCTCACTTGATTAAACCATGAGTGAAGTCGAAAATGGTGCCAGCATCATGGCATGACATGTATAAGGTGATTGCCAGGAATCCCTAACGATGGCTCAATGTTTAAGTGTGAATAAATTGGACCCTACATAAAACATGTGGTAAAAATGAACCATCAAACAAGCAGATATATTTTCGTGCCAATGCACAAAAAAATGAAATTAAAATTTAGAAGAGCAAGGTATTGAGACTATAATTACTCAGCTACTTTGTAAACACAGCCAATGTAGTGTAAGCTTTACAAATTTTCTGCAATGAACCTATTAGATCACACATGCCACCCACAGTTATGTTGATGGTTATACGATGAACATCAGGATTTCTCACATCGTCCATCAACGAAGGAACACTGCTAACTCGTTAAGTGTTTTGTACTTGCCCCATTTATTTTGACAAGCGAAAATGAGCCTCTGATGTGCTTCCATCTTAAATAGCACCAGAATGAAGCGATAAAAGAACACCTGGAAAAATGACATCGATGCACATAACCACAACATTTATGAATCAGAATGGTGTACACTGTATTCATGACACTAATTATGAGCCCAGATGTTGTGCATAGCATGTATAGATTCTCTAGCCCTCTAGGACTCACTCTGGGTGTCCAATGCGCACTCATTAAATATTGACAGGCAAGATCAATGCCCGAGAATGCACAAGCAGAATTACAAGAAGAAAGCTACACCTGATACAGCATACCATGCAATGGAGTTCTGTCGCTCCAGAGAACTTGCCTGGACAGTAATGTATATACACATCTGCACCTGTATATACACATCTGCATCTAATGTATATACACATCTCTGTACACATCTCCATGCGCTGACAGGATCACATATGCATCCTACATAAATTAGAGGTTTGTATATGCATAGCTAATATATTTCTCGTTTTCGTGACTACATTGACTATTTGTCACTAAGTATTGACAACTGAAGCTGCTATTGCATACTCATTTTACCTATCCATTCAGTTCATCGCATGGACATCAAAATACTCAATTCATTCAGCAACATACCCATGTTAACAATTAAAGTGATCGAGTGGCATTGCCTCGAAACACTGGGCAGGCAGTGTAGCATAGAATAAGGCTTGCAGTCATCACTAGTAATTTTGTCACTGTCACTGCTGTCAAATTTAGCAAAACAAGGTCTGCACAATCACTAAGGTGGAGTTCACTGAGCGTGACATGCAAGTTGCCCACCATCCACCAAATGTGTGTAGGGTTAGCCTCATAAGGATGGCATTACAAGACTAAAAAGTTTCCTGAAAATAATGCAGCAAGTTCTGTCACGTCTATTTCGAGATAGTTGGCAATAGTAGTGCTTGTTTTGAAGAAGCTGCTGTGAAATATGCAAATTCACTCTTCATCTCTGATCAACCATCAGTGCACTACAACACAGATTTGCTAAGCATCTAATTATGTCATTTATTAAGGTTCTGTGCCTGTACGTAAGTCTATTAAATGAAATTGTTTAACTGCTTTCTTTATTTATATTGCCAGCACTTCAAGCTAGAAATTTTGCCCCGCATGAATAGCATACATATACATTTGCTCATGACAAACATTTATATTGGGATAGAAGCAATCCTCAATTAGTATTGACCTGCTACTGAGTAAAATTACACATAAGCATACATCATGCAAGTGAACATGGTGATAGAGAACAACCACTGTACAAGAACAAACACATCAAAACAAATAACATAGAATGATAACATAGCATCGCCTGTCGCTAAATAGGAGTAAAAGTCATAAGATTCTGAGCAACTTTTAGAGCTTACGTCAAGGCAGATGAACCAAATTAAAAAAACATATGCAGCAAAGTAAAAGTAATAGAAGGGCATGAATGATCTAAACCTAACATGCATGCACAAGTATGATGACCTCACATGGCATACACAGCCTAGACTAGGAACGTATTAGCTTAAAAGATGCTAAGAATCATCACAAATGAAAAGGCTGTGCACAATGGACCTCATGTTCATTAAATCTGTAGATGCACTCCTTACCTGGGTACAGAAATTACCGGCATTTAAGAAGACCACTTTAGTAGCATGAATAATATTTTATAAAGTAACGAATACCTTTAAAAAGCTTCCGATTGTTTTGGGATAGTTTGTACACTACTACATCTGAACAGTTTGCAGATGGACTGACCAAAGTTCTTGAGTACGAAACGACAAACTAAGACATTGGCGAAGCATGCAGAAGATAAAATAGATACATCTAATTTGTGCTAGTAAAAGCATTCGTCAATCGCCTACGCATGCGTCTAACAACATTCAAAGGGAAGTTCAATCGCTAATTGCAGTCTGCCACATTATGTTCTAACAAGTGAACTTCGTCAGGAAGTAAGTGGCAATCCCTACAGTCCGAGAATATGAATAAAGATGATTTGCAATATGAATGCTGTTGCGCACACACACTGCTAGTCATTATCACAGGCATGGCCTGCCTTATCACAGCACCAACTTGGCATTGCATGTCGGTAGACAAAGTGTGGAACAGTCACTCAAAGCTGAAGCGACTCCGTTCATATTCGGCGAGTTTAAAAATACAGCACATGGGCTGGCTACAAAAAGCTTTGGTCAGTGTCTAGTCCTCGATGATGGACCTGCAGCTGTTGAGTTAGAGCAGAAGAAAAAAAAAAGAAATGAGACAGAAGACGTGCTCAAGAATAATTACAATATCCACATACTTGCATACAGCAACAAAGCAGAAGAAAAAAAACAAATGCAATAACAAGGCATAACAAAAGTGAACGAATTCTGAAACATGCTCAGGGAAACAACAATGAGTTAAGGCAAGTTGTGGCGTACTTAAAACCTGGTCGGAGTTTGATGCAGTGCATAGGCACGTTGATAGCACTCCTGTGTGCCTGCTGTTGCAAACAAAGCAACACACCTGTACGTGTAGAGTCAAACCTGCATATATTGAACTGATACGCCAATGTATTTGCCTGTGTCAAACATTTGCACCAACTCCTTAAAAATAACATGCAAATTACAGCACAGTATTGAATTTCAATCTCCTGTTCATTTCCACATTCAGTATATCGAATGCTATGTTAAGCTACATCTTTACAAGTGTACTTTGTTTCAGCTGATGCTGCTAAACATTCCTACTAATGTGAATGGAATGTCAGGCTATCAAGAGAAACTGAGCAAAGCGAATTTCTTAACATAAACATGGCTCACACAGCAATAACCGAGGATTAAACTAAATTTTCATGAATAAAGTGCCGAAACCCTGATGCTACTCTGAGGAATGCAATAGTTTGGGAACTCCAGAGCAGGAGGAAAAACTATTGAGGGGGTTTCAGATTATCAGCGATCACTCGAATCTCTGTCAACCAGTATATTTGCATTCCCCGCCACCAAAACAATTGTCGTGACGAGGAGTTAAACATGCATTCTCAAGCTTAGCAGCACAATACAGTGCAGACCACTTATAACGGAACCACTTTTAGCACAGGACCGGTTATTACGTGGGTTTTTCTGACCACCGATATGTCGCTCATAGAACTCTATGCATAGGCGGACCGATTATTGGGTAGACGCGCAGAGGAGAATACCGGTTATAACTGGGACTTTTTTAGTCGCGTGACCATAAAACCGGCGAACGAAGCCCACTTTCCTGCCGCAGTGGAACGTTCGGGGTGGGAGCAGATGGGAATGCATGGGTGAAAGCCGGCCGCCAGCTGCAAACGCAAACATAGCCGACGAAAACAAAGGATAAAAAGTAGGGAGGGAGAGAGACCTTGAAAGAAGGAGGGAGCATGTTTTTGGAGTGCGAGACAAGCGGCATAGGTGGCAGCCGGTCTTCTCGGTCTTTTGCCTTGTTGCATTTGTCGTGTGCGCTTCTCTGCTTACCATGTCATAGTGGCCGCGTGAGAAAGTCACGAGACTCAACACTGACGCAGTGGCCATGAGACTATCAACACTGACAACGTGTGGTCCGGCCTTGTTAACAGCAAGTTCGTAACCGCCATTGACACTTTCCGAAAATTTATCGATTCTGGGGAGTCAGAGCCACCTGACAGCGACGAAGCGAGCTCAGATGACGCGATCATCGCAGAATTGCGCAGTAGAGCGGAGGTTGCAACCGATGACAAGTCAAGTCGGACAGCTAAGATGACGTTGACTCGACGCCAGAAGCAAATTTCCCTTGCAAAGACGCGTTAGAATACCTCACAAAAGTGAAAGGATAATGCCGGAAGAACCGATTGAGCGAGAAATCCCTTAAGGGCTTGAGCGTTGTCGAGGAAGAAATTGTGCGAAGTGCTGTTCTCAGGCATCGCCAGACAAAAATAACGGCGTTCTTCCGTTGATGCCGGACTTAGGAACTTGCTGTTTTGTAGCGACTGTTGAATTTGTCCGCGAGTGAGAAGTATAATAAATTGCTTTTGAAAGGTAGGTTGCCCTTTTGGCATTGGAAAAGGTTGAAAAAGCATGTTTTGGTTATAACGCGGTACCGCTTATAGCGCGGATTTTTACAACCCCGTGACTTGCGTTATAAGCGGTCTACACTGTACTATACTAGCTAAGGCAGAAAATTAGACTTGTGGAATATTCGAATGCGTCCAACACTCGAAAAAATAATGCAGTATTCGAATTAAAATCAAATTTAAATATTAAAAACTTCGAATTATATGAAACGAACAAATAGGTGCATATTAATTCCCTATGTAACAATCTGTAAAGACGGTTACACTGCAGTAAAGGAGTGATAAGCCATGAAAGCACCTATCCAAGCATATTAGTCCGCATGTAAATATGGGGTCACTGCAGTGAAGTAATGCTAAGCAGTCAACACGCATAATGAGGAGAAATCTGCACTGCAGCAAAGCCGCACTTCATATTTTTTTGTTTTTTTTATTTCCAGTTTTGAAAACTTGTCACACCGACTTATAAGCTCCAGGTATAACAAAGTTTAGAAGATAGCATATTTAACTGGCTATCACTAGGACTGTACCGAAAGTCAAATCCTGCTACTTTTTAAAGTTGTTCCCACTTCCTTTGATGCAAAAAAATTGCCTTCGCACAAGCCTTGTCTCAATTAAAAAAGATATATAGCGCTGGTTAGTTTGGTCATGAAAAATATGCCCCTTTTTCTTCATAATAGGTGAAATATATATACTATTTGAATGATTCAAGATTATTTGACGAAAATTACTATTCGCATCGACACTAAAATTCACCATTCGCACAAACCTACAGAAATGCTTGCTTTAACAAGATGAAAGTAGATTTGCTTTGATAACTTCTTGCAGCTAAAACATTACTGTACTTTCAGCCCAACATTATCAAAGAGATGTGTGCATCACTACTTCAAAAACTCTAGGTATTCTCACTCTGACACCCAGAGCCTACAAAAATGCTCAGCAAAGTCTCAGCAAAGCTGGAATAGCGGCCTCTCAAGGCCTTTTTTAACACCTTAACTCTTGTTTTCGATATTTCCAATCAAAAAGTGCCCATTTATCGTATTGCCGATTTGGATTCTGGCTGTACTAAAGAGTAGCTAGCCGATGTTGTAAAATATTTCCACCACATAGTCAAATCAATGAAATAAAGTTGATTTCTGGACAATACGCAAGAAACAAGCTACCTGCTAAACAAAACAGTTACAGGCACCAGGCCTTTCTTCACTTGCGTAGGCTAAGCAGCCTTCGTGTATTTCACTCTGGAAGCTTCGGGGCTCTGTGAAAAAGTTCACAACACCTAATAACGCCAAGGGGCCTAACTGGAGGGCACTCTCAATGTTCGTGTTCAAGCTGTCTTTATGACTGGAGGAGCTACTCATTCACAGTCATCGCTGTCATCACCTCGGGACACAAGATAAATATCTGCACTCGAATCATCATCACTCGAAAAAGATTCCGAAAACTGATACCTTCTTTTTCCGTGTTAACAGACCAGCTAAGCAGGATCACCGCCCCCGTATTCAGTCTTTCCATATATAAACCGCACTCCTACCATAAAACAAAACTAAATCCTCGAGCAAATGCTGCCATCTAGTGGATGATATGCAATGTAACCCGTAAATGCGCACTTCTCTGTTTGAGCACTAGAGGGGAGTACCTATTCCGTTAAGCGAATTCTACTCATTCAAACAGCTTGGTGACAGTTCTGCTCGGTCAAAGCAGTTAGAGGGTTGAATGCTCTTGGTGGTAACTGCTAGAAGCACAATTGTGGAGTACCCACTAGGGCAAAAATCCCAATTTTTGTAGTAGGAAGGCATTTACTGTGCCATCCTTCAGACAAGCATGGTACCTGCTACAAACTTACAAGAATTTGACACACTTTTTGATGCTGAGCTTTACGAAGATAAGGAATGACCCCTGAAGATATCGTAATGGGTTGGAAAATTCCACGACCCACTCATTATGCAATCCACACTGTGTGACACTGGTTGTTCTTTTCCTGTTTTAAAACGCTCTATTACTCACATTGACAATTCCTTTCCCAACATGGAGCCTGTTAAGGGTCAGTTTGCAACAGAGTTTCAAGCATCAGCGTAGTATACTAAGCTGGCGTGCAGCATACTCGAACGTATCCCTGGTGTTTGCTTAGTTTTTTTTCTTATTTTGTGCAATAGTCGTTACGAACACAGGCGGCAGCGGACACCAACAGCCCCAAAATGATTCTTGTTGCGATCTTAGAACAGCTTTTGCTGTGAAGGGCCTGGATAAGATGCTTAATTTCTGATGCATTTAATGAGGCCTTCTTGCAGACCAATCCGTAAATTTCTACACAAAATTCTAAACAAAACTGAGCAATTCACGATATAGGAAACCCGAGATTTGGGAAGTTTCCAGAAGGGCAATGAAAAGGCATATTTTGATTTTCCAATGAATATGTCTAGCAGTACAATATACATCTAGGTTTGACTGTACACCACTCCAGCTAGATTTCAAGGCCACAGGAAACAAAAATAATATTTCTTTAGAATAATCATCGAAGTTGTAGCAGCAGTAGGAACTTATGTGTCCCATGGAGTGCATCCTTGTTGGTTATAAAAAACATGGTATACAGTAAAGAATATATATACTTTTTGCAAAAAAGTTACAAACACTAATAACTGCACATAGCAACGTGGCTGTGCTACTAACGGACAAGTTGGCCCCATGAACCATCTGCGAAAATGTAGTCACTAGAAGTACACAGCCATAACAGGAAAAACAAGTTAAAACACAAGGAGCTCCCATTCTGTAACACAGCCTGCATAAAGAATTAGACTCTCCCAAGTGTGTAGCATAAAAATTATCATTTAAAGAGGAAGTCAATTAGCAAGATAGCACAGGTTATTTAAATGTATGGCAGCCACATAGTGAAAAGTCTAATGCTAAAAAAAATATAAGCTGTAAAATAATCTTCTGCCATTGCTACTAACATAGTTCTTTAAAGTGTGATGAATCTCAAATCATTTTAGTAGCTGTCTGGTTGAATCAATTTTACATTTCGCATGTATCTAATGCAAAGGTTTCCTCCAAAGAGAAATAACGTGAACACTGATATTTCTGTAAGCTGTAATATTGACAATATTTAAGATCAATCTAATGCGAAGGTCATTTTTGGAAAGAGTGCTAGAATGAAACGAACAGATGTGAAACGCCGATAT